AGCAAGGGACGAGGCCAGGTGTCCTGGCCAAAGCCAGTGGAGCTGCCCCAGGCACATTGCGCTGCCTCGATGGCCCAGGGGACTGTCAGCCACATGCACCCATGAAAAGCACCATGCCACCCCTCCCCAGACTTGCGGTCATAACGAGCAGGGACTGTTTTAAGCCACTGGGGCTTGGGACAGTCTAACGCAGCCTGGGTGACAGGTCCCGAGCTCCATGACAGGACAGATGGGCTAACATTCTTGGAATTCTACCTTGAATGCCTCGCCAGGGTCAGCCCCAGGACGGTTTCACCCTTGAGCATCCCAGCCTCCCTCCTGTTGAGGGGCACCCTGTGTCTCCAGCAACCCTGCTGCAGCAGGGACTGTCCAGCACCCCCATGGCCAGGAGGTCACCCCTGGGTGCTGATAAGGCTGCCCCTGGGTGTCCCCTCGGCTCACATGCAGCAGGGAGGCCTCTTTTGAAGGCCCAGTCCCTCCCCATGCCCTCGCCCTATTTCTACTGGGCACTGCCATGGCCTGGTGAGACACCGCATGGGCTTCCTCCCTGTTCCCTGGGAAGGACACTGGGCCTGCACCTAATGACTGTAGCCCTAGTGCATGGTCACTGCCTGTCCTGTCCATGAATGAATGAGCGGCCTTGCGATTCGCACCCGGGGCCCAGGAGCATGTCTGTGAGCTTGTGACATAGACACCTGCTCAGAGGCACCACCACAGCCCCTCCCCTGACAAGGACGCTGGTGACAGTGTCATCCCCAACTAGATGGGGCGGGTGCCACCAGGGTCTCCTGAACCCGGCCCTCAGCCCTCTGTCCACTCACACCTTCTGCTCCTGGTATTTGAAATATTGCCGACCAGGGCCAGCAGGAATGTCCTACCCTGGAGCTCCCACCAGAAGGCTCCTCCTGGACTCTTCCTGGGGGAGGCAGCCAGCCTTATCCAATCTCCCCAGTTTCTCTCCTAATGGCACAAAATGGCCCCAAGAGCCCAGAGTTTTAGCACGGCTTCCCCGGAGAGAAGGATGACAAGTGGCTTCAGCTACTGGGAACGTCCTGAAGCGTCTCTGCATGTCTCCTGGCCCCCTCTCCTGGGAGTTGAGAACGCGCCCCCTGCCGTGGCTCCTTCTCCATCCTGGCTCCCTGGAGACTGGCCAGACAGGGCCCAAGAGCAGCGTGGCCCAGCCTCCAGGAGGGCTGGAGTTCTGCCTCCCCTTCCCCTGGCTGCACCACCTCATTACCCGTGAGGCCCTCGTTCCCCTGACCTCGTCCTGGGGAAGGGGCGGGACAGCCACCCACACCCAGATGTGAATCCACCAATGACCACTCTGAAAAATCACACAACCCAGAGGGACGGGAGGGGGACTTCGTAGGCAGGCGTGGTCACGGCGGGGACTCAGGTCAGCTCCAGCATCATTCTCACTGGCTGTTTGAGAAATCACTTGAGCCCCACCTCAGTCTCGCCTTTTTCATCAGAAGGTCTTGGTTTTAGAGGGAAACAGATCTCCGCTTACAACCAGGGGTGGAGAGGTCTGGGAGCCCACTGTCACTGGGCCTCTGAGCCAGCAGGGCAGCACAGGACTCCACACGGACCAGGCCACAGGCCGGCGGCCAGGTGCGCCTGTCAGTTCAGGTGGGGACCCCGTCCTAGGGCATGCCCCCAGAGGGTCCTCGGGTGGCCCTCAGAGTTCCCGAGGCTCTCAGCAACTTGGGCTAATTGAAACAGGTCGGGGTTCCAACTGCACTCAAGCCTCTGAGAACTCAGAGCCCTGCTGGGGCAGCACAGTGGCCCGTGGTCAGCAGGATTGTCCTCTGACCTGGCTGAGCCGAGGGACAGGATGGCGTCCAGGGTGTTCTAAACCACGTCAGAGGATCCCCATCGGCAGACTTGGGGTCCCCCGATGACAACAGGAACACCAGGAAAGTGAGAACCCCTGTGCTTCTCCATTGCCACCAACAGAGGCCAAGCTCCCACGCTGGGCAGCCACCTGCTGAGGGCGCGTCTGATGCCCGGCTGCAGCAAGTTCCAGTCAAGAGCGCCAGGCTCCCTCTGCCTCTGCCCGCCTCCCCTCAGGGCCCCACAAGAAAGCCTGCCTATCCCACAGGGCCTGGCCAATGCGCAGTGAGCACCTCCCACCAATCAACTGCCACAGCACCACACCACAAAAAAGCACATGCCCTGCTTGGTGTCCCCATGTCCTTTCTGCCTCCTTTGGGAGAGCAGCCATCCTTTGAGAGGGTGCTTTGCCTGTCCTGTGGGAGGCCCGGTCAGGGCAGGCACTCCTCCACCCTCTTGCCCATTCACTGAGGCTATCGAGAGACCTTTAGGCAGTACCCAGGATGCACCTGGCTCAGCCCCAGCTCGGGGACAGAGCAGACAAGAAGCCCCTGCCCCAAGAAGAGGCATGCCCCAGGGCGAGCGTGGAGGAAAGCAGGGCCATCCCCTGTGGTAACAGTAGCAGGGATCCACCTGCAGGTGACACGGGGCAAGGCTGGAGGATGGGGACCGTTGACTGGCCAGACATCGGTGTGTAATCTAAGTCTGCAGGAATCATCAAGGGCAGTGACCTGTGGGGCTGAGTGGGGGAAGGGTCACCCTGGCAGAGGCCAGGGAGGGCAGCTGGGCTGCCTCTGTGAACAGAGAAGGCAGTCCCCACGACAGACCAGGGCAGCTCCCCACGGCTGGCCCTGGGTGGCAGGTGAGAACTCAGGCAAGGGGCGTCTCTCGTCATGGCCACCCGCTACGAGGAGCTCCTGTGGCCTCAGGCCTGGGCATGGAGTTCCTGCAGTGGTTTGGGACAGCGGCTTTCCTCTGCACACCTGGATTCACTTAGGTGCCAGGCAGAGGTGCCCACAGCACCAGGCACACTGCAGACCCTGGGCACTGAGCTTCCAGTGAGCTTCCCTGTCACTGATGTCACTCTCGCAGACCCAGCTTGCTGCTAAAGTCCGAGTTCACCCCCAGGCCTCCTCCCCAGTCTCCCCTAAGGGCAGGTGACACCCTCACGTGGACGCCCATGGACAGGAGGGTCACCATGGACAGGTAAGCTTGCAGAGCAGGCTGGACAGAGCCTGGTGGGAGCCTGGCCGGCAGCTGTGCAAGGTCCAAGCACTGGGGTTCAAACCTGGGGCGACACAGGAAGGGCCGCCACAGGAGAAGCAAGGGGCACAGACGCGTGTGTGCTCAGGAATCTCAGGGCTGAGGGTTGTGGATTCACCCACCTGTTCTTCCCACAAAGAGGTCTAAGGTGCCCCAGGGTGTGGCAACCCCCAAGGATGTCCACCTCCCAGGAAAAGGGACTCTGCAGATGTGACTACATTAAGGACCTTGAAATTGGAGGCTGCCCTAGGTCATCCAACCAGCTGATGTCGGGTGCATGGTCTCAGAGGAGGTGCTCCCTCCCTTGCAGGCTGTGGAGGTAGCACTGAGGCGCGGGGGGGCAGCAGGAGCCAGAGAAGGCCAGGCCTGCAGGGGCCTGCAGGGGGCACAGCCTGGCAGAGGCTTCGCCTTTAGCCTGTGAGGCTCGTTTTGGACTTATGACCTCCAGAACCATTTGGGAATACATCTATGTTGTTTAAAGCCACCGAGCCACCATGGGGAGCTTTGTCACAGCCACAATAAGACAATACACTATGTCTCCCACCCCAGGACACTGGCACGGGGCCAGATAACCCTACCATGGGGCACTGACCAGAGTACTGAAGTTTCAGCGGCATTTCTGGCCTCTACCCATTTAGATGTCCAGGGCTCTGTTTCCCAGGCATGCCAATCAAAAATGCTACCACACTGCCAAATGTCCCCGGGGAATTTGCCCCAGGGAACTGCTGGTCCAAGTTGTTAATCAGACAGACTCTGCAAGCTCCTTACTTCCAGGGATCCAGGGCCCATACCCCTTGTAATGCACCAAACACCCACTTGGAGCCAAAAGTTGGAGGTAGAGGGTGGGATAAACAGTGGCCTATGCCCTCGTCAATGCCCTCAGTCCTGGAGGCCGTGGCCTAAGCCATTGTGCTAGCCATCTCCTCACCTGTGGCCTGTGCCAAGCTCTGAATACATGGAACCCCAGGGCAGGCTGAGCGGGCCTGCAGGTCTGGTGAGCAGCCTATTCACCTGGAGACCAGCCTGTTCCACAGTCAGGACCAGGAGTGGACCAACAAGGCATCTTGAATTCTTCATTGAGATGGAATTCATCAGCCATAAAATCCACCAGAGTGTGCGCCCTGTGGTTCTGTATACAACCACCGTCCCTGTCTGATTCCCATGGCCCCCAGGGAAACCTGGTCCCCATCAGCAGCCACTCCCACTGCACGCCCCTCACGTGCCATAGTCTGTGCCCCCGACTCTGCTCCAACAGTCCCCAGTAGGTGACCGCTGGAGTCAAAGCCACTTCCTGCTCCAGGGGTATGGGCAAGGCAGCAGGGCACCATCGTGCCCCTGAGAAACACCGCGGTGAGTACACTGGACAGTGGGACTGCAGTGGCCACACTGTTGCTTTCTAGAACAATGAGGATCCAAGAAATCAAACAGGAAGGGAGGAGAAAGGGAGGGAGGGAGGCAAGCTGACCGATTCACTCAGCCTAACTAGGTGATGTCAAGCCGCCCAACCCCACCAGGTGGACGCTGAAGGAGCCGGCTCTGGGAGTGCAGCCTGAGGTAGCTGTGCTCTGACTTAGCTATTCTCCTACAGCAAAGGCCACTGGACATCTGGCAACAGCTTCAAATCCAGCAGACACTGGGCTGCAGCCGGCTGCTCCCTGTCTGTCAGCAGAGCCACCCTCCGCCCGGCTCAGCTCTCTGTACCCTCAGAAATGGGAATGTGGAACTGGTTTACAGGGCTGCTTCCAGAAAAGCTGGAATTGTATCACTTGTGGGTTTCACATCATAGCAGGATAGGCACCGGGAGGGCCCCGAGCTCCAGGGGTCGAAGGGCTCGGCCTCCTGCGCTGGCTGCAGTGCCCCCCGCCCCACGCTGGCCTGCAGCACCGGGCACGCCAGCCGCCTACCTTCAGGACCTGCTCCAGGTTCTCCAGCTTGACTTGGAGCTGGTGTTTCTCCCTCAGGGCCGAATCGCGTTCTCTGGTCACTATGGTGAGTGTGCGGCTGAGCCGGGCGTACTCTGCCTTCACCTGGGAGCAGAAACGTTGAGGAAACAAAGGCTGTTACAGACTGCCCAGGGACCGGGTGGACACCCGGCCAGCTGACATCTGTTGCTTCCTTGTTAGGAGCCTCCTGTCCTTCCCTCCCCAGGGTGGACTTCAGGGTCCAGCCCTACTGGGCTGAGCACCTGTGGTCAAACTGGCCAATCAGCACCTGACCTCCCCCTTCGGCCCGCCCACCTCCAGTACAGCACTGTGATTAGCTCTGGCTGGGAACGGGACCCAGACTGGCTGGTCAGTGCAATGCCATCTCCTGGACGTGGTGATTGACTGGAGTGGTCCTGCAGCCCTTTGCCATCCTGAGAGCCTGGGAGGAGACTGCTGTCCATGGGAAGTTGAGGACAACAGACTACAGGTGTCATTGCCTGCTGTCATGAGGGCAGCACGGCCTGACTTCAAGGCCAGGTAAATGGACGCAGAGCCCGGAACGCAGAGGGCAGATGGGGTCTTGACGGTCCTGGGTACCAGGACAAGCCCAACTGGAGCGGCTGTCTCCTCCGTTCCCATGGGGCCCGTAAGTTCACACCAACCCAAATTACTTCCTGTCCCTTTACCTGTGAGAGTCCTGACACACACCAGACTGTCACCCGATTGTGTAAGCATGCTAATTCCTCTGCCTAAAAACTTTACCCTGTCTCAGCCGAGGGTAAAAATGGCACAGAATTGCACATGTATGAGCACGGATTTCCCCAGGATCTAGTGCCAGGTCAGTTCCACCCTCAGTCTGTAGCCCCAGCCAAGCTGTGAGCTCGCTGGCAGTCCCCTAGTCCCCCTCCATCCCCGGCTCCTCTGCAGCAGGCCAGGGCATGCTCTGGTGAGGGGCCAGTGGCTGGCTCCAGCTGCCCTGCCCACCTGCCCACGGAGGCCACGTATCAAGGCCACAGCAGACTTGCCATGTGCTTCCCTCCTCCCCAGAGTTAGAACATGCTTTGTGGCTTCAGTCACAGCCCATCAGGAAGCCACATTTCAGCCACAGAAGCCTTTCTGTCACAGAGGCTTCGGTACTGAGGGCAGTGCCCAACTGGACAGTTCCCTGGCTCTGAAAGGAGGGCGCCACGTGGCCTTCCTCAGTGGAGGCAGTGCGTGAAAGCTACCTTAGGGGTCACAGCCAGGGCCGGCTTGCGGGAGTTCTCACAGCCACTCAGCTGCCACCAAGCCTGGGGCCTGAAACTTGGAAGATGTCAGAAGCTGAAGGTGTCACAACCTCCTGGAACTCAGTGCCTCTCATGAGCCTCAACCCAGGGCTACAGGTTGGCAGGAAGCCATCGCTTCTCATATTCTTGCTGGTCAGGGAAATCAGACGTGGGGTGAGGTGTGAGCACCCTGGAGCCCAGCCTCATGGGGACCAAGGAGTGCTTCCTGCAGCACTCCTCAGCCACTGCCTGGTTCCCACGGAAATAGGAATGAAACCAAACACCCTGATGCCAGGCTCTGCAGGACCTGACCTTCCCATCTGGTACCACCACTCACCATGCTGGGGACACCCCAGCCTTCTGTCCCCTAAATAAGCTAAGCTCATTCCCACCCCAGGGCCTTTGCACTGGTGGACTCCATTGCCTGGCCCAGCCCCATCTGCTCCCACTAAGCCCTGCGTCACGCTGCATGCCACCTTGGGCAGGCTGCCCAGCCTGTGGAGGGAACGGCCCCTAGCCCTCGCCCTCAGTTTCTGTCCTCCCTCCCTGTGTGCCGCACTTCTCCCATAGGCATTTACACTGTGGGGGTCATCCCGTATGGCAGTTGGTGCTTTCCCAGCGGCTGCCCTCCTGGATGCCCCTGCAGGGGTCAGGCTCCCTGCGCCCTCCAAACCCTGAGCATTAGGGCCTGGAGAGGGCCTGGCACAGTGGGCAAGGGAGGCAGCTGTGGACTGGGTGGAAGGCAGCCTGTGCCCCCCGGGGATGTGTGGGCCCTTCCAGGTGCCTTCCTGCCTGCCCTGTGTCCTGCTCTGTCCCCGAGGGCCCAGCTTCACCCCGTGTCTCCACGGCAGGCACTAACTAGGCAGCCCTTGGCCTGAGGCTCTGCCTGTGCCTGTCCCAGGTCCCCACTTGCTCCCTGCCAGGACCTGAGGGAACCCAAGTGACCTCCAGTGCCACGCAGGCCTAGCACTCTGGGGACAAAGGCCTGCATGGACTGAAGCTTCCTAAGGCCACGGCTGCCTTCTTCCAGCTAGGATGTCACACTCAGGGATGGACGAGCCCCTGACAGTAGCACCGAAGTCACCACCCAGCAGAGAGGGGCTGAGCAGAGCTGGCACGCGCATCCTGCCCATCTCCAGGTGCCACTCTGCCTGGGTCCCTTCAGCTGGGCTGTTCCTGCAGGGATCAGCCAGGACACGCCCCTGACAGACCTGAGGAGGGCCTCTCTCTCACAGTAACTCTTCAGATGGGGCAGGACTGAAGGCCGAGGTGACTAGCACGCCACACCCCGGCCCAGACGAGCACCCCACACCTGGCTCAGATGGACACCCCACACCCCAGCCCAGATGGACACCCCACACCCCAGCCCAGATGGACACCCCATGCCCCGGCTCAGGCGGGCTCCTCACAAGCTGGCATCCTGGGCTCAGTGGCACGGTGGCCTGGTGCTCCACCCCTTTGGCCTTTCTGCACAATTCTCACTAGGAGCCTCTGAGGATGGGCCATGGCTCACGGAGCTCTGGGCCTGGCCGAGCACTCACAGGGCTAGGGAGGTAATGGCCATAGCCCTTGCCCTCCTGCCCAGATAGCACCACCTGGAGCCCAGCCACATCCCTCACAGCTGCACTTGGTCAAGGACATCCTCCTGGGGATGAGCCAGGCTGACCCCCACTGAAGGGCAAGGGCAGGGCTCCAGCATGGCCAGGCTGGAGCCAGCAGCCCCTCCTCTGTCCTGCCCTCAGGGGGGCTAAGATGGTTCACTTGTACGAGATTTTCTTATTTTGACCAGGTGAGGTGGTCAGGGACACTCAGGAGGGCTGGGACAGCCTCAAAATCCCAAATACCTATGTATGACATCTCTATGAGGTCCCATAATTTTTCAATAGAATGCCTTAGGAAAGGGGACATAGCGAGACCCCCTGACCATCATCCACAGCTCTGTGCACAGCTGGACCTAGACTTCCTGCCGGCCAGTTTCTGGCCAGTGGGTAGGAGTGTCACCAGGTCACAGGTTCATGGACGATGAGCTCAGGGCTCACCTAGCATCTGGCCTGGGGTCAGGATGCAGAGCTGCCCCAGGGCCTATTGAGATGGGACAGCCAAGGGACCCAGAGAGCAGCATGGTGGCCTGGGCCTCACAGCCAGCCCTCCTTCACGCGAACTGCAGTCCACAGGTGCACAGTGGCACCTGGCCAGGAAGCACACAGCTCCCAGCAGCAGGCACTCTGTGCCAAGCCCCCCTCGAACACTGGCCTGCCACAGGAACGGCTTCCCCAGCTGGGAGGCTGCACAGGCCTCGATGGCCCAAGTGACGATAGATTTTGATTATATTTTTGAAAACAGTACAAAGACTGGTTTGTGGGCCCACAAGACCTTGAAGACAGCTCGGCCCTGTGTCCCGGGTCCCACTGTGGCGTCTTCCGCAAGGCTCCTTCCAGAAGGGACACAGGCCCATGTTCCAGACAGTCCAACAACACGCCCTGTACCTGAGGACCAGTCCTTTCTGTGCCTTTCTGCTTCAGGGAAAGTGCCGACAGCAGGTCTCCTTGCAGCCATAATTAAGAGCTCTGATAATTAATGTCACTGTCAATCAGGGCAGGTTGCAAGTGCAGGCAGGAACTGACAAGGAAATTAGTAGAGGGTCCCTCCACTTCTGCAGGTTGAGTGGACACCCCACGTGCTCCCCACCATGAATCTAGGGCACGTTCAGCACTGTCCTCACCAGAAGGAACCCTGCACTCCCGCACTCCGGGACAGGAGGGTGCTCAGCACCAAGGACAGCTCTGGGAGCCGCTATCTCCCTACGCTCTCCACACCTCCACACCGTAGCTAGCCACCCCGAGCCCTGATGTCCAGCTCTGCTGCGTCCACGTCCAAATGCACATGATGAATCAAAACCACAATGCACAGTTAAAACCACAGCAATGATAATGGAGGGGGACAGTCCAGCAGAGGGGGCAAGGGAGGGGAGGGAGAGGAAAGGTGCAGAGTGCCGGTAGGAATGTGGCAGAAGGAATCCACTGTTATCACCAAAAAAAAAATAGAGAAAGACAGAGACATAAAGGACAGAAGGAGGGAGGGAGGGAGGGAGGGAGGGGAAGGGGAAGGGCGGAGGGGGCCCTGAAGGCTGGCTGGCGTGAGTGGCCAGGCCTGGGCGAGTCTCTGCCACTCAGCTGTCCCACCTCTGCCTGGTGAGCCCCTGGCTCCTCAGAGGTCCCTGCCGAGTGGAAGGGACAGCCAGCTCTGCTCTGTGCCTCACAGCCCCTTCAAAGGCCACTTTGGGAAGACAGCAGGAGACAAGGGGACTGAATGTGAGTCCCCTGGAGCTGGGACACCAGGCACAGCAAGAAGGCTGCGAGGGGAGGCTGCCTCCACCACAGCACCGGCCCAGCCAAGGCCCGGGGGCCCTGCTCCAGCTCTCCGCCCTCGCTGGGCTGGAGACCCCCGGTCTGGCAGAAGCCATGAATACCCAAGGAGAGACTGGCACAGACTGCGGACAGCCCCCCAGGACCGCTCCCACCCGCCCGTAGCTGACACCTGAAGCCACCACTGCTGTGTGATTCGCTCCCCTGGCTGGGAGGGGGCTGGGAGGGGCCTCCTGTGTCCACTCCTCGGAGTGTGAGTCTCCTGGAGCCCCTGCCGAGAACTGGCCTGAGGGTGAGGGCTGGGGGCCCGGGAAGGGCCCTGAGTGGAGAGGAGGGGACGCAGTAAAGCACATGTTTCTAAAATGTGACAAGATACACACCAGATCTGTCCTCCAACCATTTTTTAGGGTACATCTGTGGCGCTAAATACACATTGTCTGCAGGCACCGCCACCGCCATCTCCAGGGCTCCGTCCCCAGCAGGGGACTCGCCATTCCCTCCCCACCCCCATCCTGCACTCCACCCTCTCTTTCCTTGACTTGGAAGCTCGGGGAGCCTCATGCACCTAGACCCGGGGGCCCTCCTCCTTCCGTGGCTGGCAGTTACACTGGGTGGGTTGCCCCCAGGCCTGTCTGCAGGGTCACCTGTCAGACCTTCCTTCCTGGGGCTGAGTGGCGTTTTGTGTATCCATCTATCCACTGGTGCACACCTGGGCGGCTCCACCTGTTGGCTACCATCATCTGTAGCCCAGGTGTACAAACACCTCTTTGATGCTTCACTTGTGATTCTTTTTTTTATTATTTTAATATTTTTTAGTTGGTGATGGACCTTCAGTTTTTTGCTTATTTATAGGTGGTGCTGGAAACCGAACCCAGTGCCTCACCTGTATGAGGCAAGTGCTATACTGCTGAGCTGCACCTCCAGCCCGTGCCTGTGGTTCCTTTGCATGCATACCCTGGAGTGGGATCACTGTTCATGCATAACATCCTATTTTTAAATTCTGGGGGCCTCCGTGGGGACGGCAGCAGTTCACACACACACCCACAAGGCACAAGGTACACTTTCTCCACATCCTCATCTTAAAAACACCTCCTGGGGGGAAATGGCCAAGAAGGAAGGCAGGAACACAGGTATCAAGGTCTTGGCAGTGAGTTGTCAGAACTGTCATTCTTTGATCTATGCACTGGTAGAGCTGCCAAGTCAGCAGCTCAGAGCCACCCACCCCACAAACCAGCACCCAGGGCGCTCCACCTGTCCCAGGGGCTGCAGGCTCAGATGGGAAAGACCACGAACATGCAGGGGACAGACAGACACATCAGTGAAGATGTGTTCCACCAAGAGGGGCCAAGAGATTAAAGAACAGGCACCAAGTGAGTTCACACAGGGAAAAGGGAAGGGGGACACTCAAGTGGGCAGCTTTGCCAAGTGACTTTAACTTGAGACTTCAATGAAAAGCAGCTGCCAGCTGCTGGAAGATGGGGGAGCAGAGAATTCCAAGCAGAGTGGACCATCAGGAGCTGGGCCCAGCTCAGTGTGCAAGGAAGAAGTGTCAGAGTGCTGGAGCCTCACAGTGAGGGGGACTGCCAGTAATAAAGGTCACCACGGGCAAACCCAGTGGTGCCTACAGGACGGGAGGGGAGGGGCCATGCAGAGGAGCAGAGCTGGGGCCTGGGAGAGGAAGGGGTGGGCCAAGGGGAGGAGGAGTGTGGGCCAAGGGGAGGAGGGCAGCTGGGGCCTAAGAGAGAAGGAGGGACGGCCCAGAAGAGGGGCAGGGTCAGGCCCAGCAGAGGAGGAGGGCCAGGCCCAGCAGAGGAGGAGGGCCAGGCCCAGCAGAGGGGGAGGACCAGTCCAGTAAAGGGGAGGACCAGTCCAGCAGAGGGGGAGGACAAAGCCAGCACAGAGGGAGGACCAGTAGAGCAGAAGGGGAGGGCCAGGCCCAGCAGAGGGGGAGGACCAGGGGAAGCACAAGAAGAGAACAGGGGCCGGGTGTGTTGGCACACACCTATAATCCAGCGGCTCAGGAGACTGAGAGAGATAGATGATGAGTTCAAAGCCAGCCTCAACAAAAGCGAAGCGCTAAGCAACTCAGTGAGACCCTCTCTCTAAATAAAATGTATAAAGGGGCTGGGGCTGGGGCTCAGTGGTCTAGTACCCCTGAGCTTAACCCCAGGTACCAAAAAAGAGAACAGGGTCTAGAAGAGGAGGGCTGGGGCCCAGGTGGCACTGACCAACCCGTTGGTGCGATAGACTAGGGGCAGTAGAGTGCAGGACACCCTGGCATTTTGGCTGAGCTGTGGAGGATGAGGAAAATTCAGCAGGAGGACAGGGGACTGTGGACACGGGAGGCTGTCCCATGTCCCATATCTGGCCTTCTTGGAGACATGGAGACCTGGGCCTATGGGGAGACCCCTGGAGGGCATGCGTACAACACTGGCCTAAGCAGCAGACAGGATACCTGGGGTCTTGGCCCCTCACCTTGGGGTGCTCCCCCCCAGGGGGCCTGCTGATGGGGTGACATTACCTGGTCATGCTGCCGGCCCCTTGTAGGTAGGCCTGCATAACGGGTTGTCAGGCGACGGTCTCCGTAGGCAGCATCCTTCAGTTCATCTTCCTGGGATAAAAGGAAAGGGCATGAGAGGTCAGACCCAGCTTGAGAAACTCCACAGGAACTAGATCCGGGGTCAGGTACCAATTCTGAACCCACAGGTCTGTGTGCTTTGAGAGTTTTCCGGATCCACAAAATCAGACCAATAACATCCTACAAGGACAAACTCCTCCACAGAGCAGGGCTGTAGGAATGCAGCCAGTCACACCCCAGTTCTGGTGGCCAAGGAAAAGCCTGCACCCATTTATTTTACTCCACCTCATTGGTCCAGGTCAGCTGCCTAACCCCACAAAATCAGCCTCCCCAAGAGAAAGGCTGAGGATGCCAAGGCAGTCTCCCCAAACCAGTCCACGCAGGAACGGGCACTCAGGGGCCACTCACTACCCCAGTGCCCACTGCAAGGAGCCGGCCACAGAAAGATGCCCAAAGATACACCAGCCTCCAAATGCACAGCCCCACACCTTGTGCTTCCAGAATCAGAAACCGCCCAGCAGACCACCAAGGCCCAGAGCAGCCAAGTGGGAAGAACCCCGTCCATGGACCAGATCTCCAGGTAAGAAGGAGGTGCCAGCCGGAGCCTGCTCAGACCCCGGGCCCTGTGCACCAATGATGTGCATCTCCCTTTGTGCACAGGAGCTCCCAGGGACACGGGGAGGAACGCAGCTGGCTTCCTGGCTGATGCAGACTCGGCCCACTCTCCCCTGCCATGGCCGGGCACAGTTGCTACTCCGACACTCATGTGTCGTGGCACCTGGGGAGCGTTCAGAAAGTGTCTATTGCTCACCCTTCTGACACTGTTTGGGTGCTGGACAGCAAGAAGACTTACCCTGGAAGGCCTCATAAGTGATGCCGTGCAGGACAAGAGCCGTCTGCCCAGGGAAATGGCCACTGCTACAATTAAATTGAGCCTTTCTGAATTAATCAGCACCACCCCAGGAATGCTAAGCGGAGCAGAGATCACCTCAGGTAGCAGCTGCATACTGAGACCAGAAGGCTTCCCAAAGATGTGGGCTTGTAGCCGCAACACGACAGAACGAGTCTCCCAGCAGCCAGCGCGGGCGGCACCAGGAGGACAACTCACAGGAGGAGGAGGAGGAGGAGGGCTGGGCGGGTCCAGCATGATCTGGAGCAGGGTCTTCACGGCCTGCTAAGGGGGCCAGCACCAAGTGCCTTAGTCACCCCTGAGCACACCTGGGCTGTCTGAAGCATGATGAAGCCACCATGGGCTGTGACACTGTCCATTGCTGACCACATCTGAGGGCCAGTAAGTAAGCCTGACGACACACTCCTACAGGCAGGAGAGGGGAGTATGACTCACACTGGGCCGGGACTGCAGTGAGGAGGGACTTCCGGAACACTTGCTGTGCAGGGTCCCACCAGTCCCATCTTTGGGACCTAGATGAGGGTGTGATGACGGATGGCCCCACCCCCATGCATCTCCACCTCCTGGGAAGTTCAGCAGCTTTCTTGCCCAGGGAGGACCAACAAGCAATGCAGACAGCGACTGCCTTAGGTGCCCCAGGCTGAAAGCCACACAAAGGGGCTCCGGGGAAGGAACATGGGCCCAGGGCAGCACCTCCCCAGAACCAGAGCACAGTGTGGAGCCGCAGGGTCAGCAGCCCAGGCAGGAAGAGGCATGGGCCTCACCGCCCTCCACAGAGGAGCACACTGCAGGGTTGGGCTCCTGGCACCCGGCCAACAGTTCTGGGCTAGATTTGAGGACTGCCAGGTGGAAAGGAAGGGAGTCCTGGCCAGACGCGCAGAGAATGTGGCAAGCGAAGTGCGAGAGGGCCGGGGAGCTCAGGGACGCAGGTGGCCCGGTGTGGCTGCTGAGTGAGTGTGGGGAAGGTGGGGCAGGGAGTGGGGCGGAGGCTGCAGCCCAGGGGTCTGTCTGCTCCCTAGGACGTCAGATCTCTGTTCAGTGTGCCCCCAAACTCGCCCTTGTGGAGAGTGCCAGCCAAGGGGATTTCGACCCATTGGCATGCACTAGGGACTCATTAGGGGGCCTGGTTTGATATTGTGGCCCCTTTCCCCCAAATTATGGGCAAGAAGTGAATTCCAGTGGGGACAAGAGGAGGGAGAGCAGAACCACACACAGGGAGGGGTGTGTGACCTATGTGGGCAGATAGGCTGGAGGACTGATGAGGAGGGACACTTGGACATCTCAAGGGACAGGTCACACAGGACTGGGACCAGCATCGCCAGCTGGGCTTGTGGCAAGCAGCGGTCACTATGGATTTCCTTGCATTTTCCCTGTTTTGATGTTTGCTACTAATTCAAATAAACCCAGGCATCATGCTCTCCTTCCCAAGATGAACCATCAGGTCAAATGTGGCTTTAAAACGGAGCACTTTGTAAAAGAAGTCAGACTGTTTGGAGTCAGAGTATTGGCAGGGTGGGCAAGGGAGCCACGTGGTGGTAGGAGCTACCCAAGTTCAGGGAGAGGAAGGGCAGGCAGCAAAGACACCCTCAGGCATCTGCTGCTGGCCCAGGCCACCCTGACCCAAGTCCCCATGGCGAAGCCCTGGGTCCTGGTGGCTTTTTGGAGAGAGGCATTCTGGGAGGCATTTAAGGGTAAATGAGGTCATAGAGTAGTTCCAATCTGATAGGATCGGTGTCCTTGTAAGAAGAGGAAAATCAACGTCCCCCTCGCCCTCCCACCACGGCCACCTGAGAGCACCAAACAGCACAGCAAGCCACAAGGAGACTCCACTGGGAACGGACCTCCTGGTCTTGGACTTGCAGCCTCCGGAATTGAGAGGAGGCCACCGGGTGACCTGAGCTGTCTCACCAGCCCTGCCTGGAGGAGGGGGCAGAGCATCCCCAAGGCTGCCCAAGAGCAGTGCAAGGGTTAGACAAGGGAGGAGCTGGGTCTCAACCACCCCATCCCCTCCAGGAACATGGAAGAATCCAAGTTCAATGGGCAACATGGCCTCTTCCCTGGAGAAAAGCCCAGGCAAGAAAGGACAGGCACATTGCCCAACAACTGGTGGGCACTTCTTCCAAGCCCAGGGCTCAGTGGACAGCTGGGGCAAGTGCCCTGGAAATAGACCCACCCTCCAGCCCATGGGCAAGGCAGACAGTGTGGGCCACACACACGAAGGTGTTAGCCATTTGGGCGGCCATGGGAAGCAAAGAGAGGACTCGGTCACTCCTAGGACAGGCCTGGCCTCAAAGGTGGGTCAGAGTGGTCCACGTCTGACTGCAATACCCAGTGCCAGCACCACCTGACTGAAACCCTGGTGCCCAGTCCCCCACAACACCAGGCAGGTGGAAAGGTGCTTTCACCTCCTGTGCTGGGCAGTGGACGGCGGTGGAGGCAGAGCCGCTCCCAGGCTTGTGTGGCTAGCTGCTTCCAAGTGGGGAAGGCAGGATGAGCCCCTCAGTGTGGGAGCGGACACTTCTCCAGCATGTGGAGTCCCAGTGGCTTACGCCTCGCTGGCTCTTGCACAGACGCACAGTCCAGCCCAGCCATCCACCGCCTGCCCTTCGGATTCTGGAGGCTGCATAGGGCCCCAGGGAAGCCCTTGGGCTGGAGGCAGGATGAGGGGCTCCTCCCAGGCCGACTGTGTGATATGAAGCCCACGGGGAGAGAAGGCACCCATGCAGCAGAGATAGAGGTCCATGTTGGGGCTGGGCTGGGTGAAGGCGGGGCCTGGGAGTGTGGGTGGGGCTGCAGGTGCAGAGCGGGAGGAAGTCAGGCACCTGGGGGTCCCTGAGGTTTAGGAAGTCTGGGTCCCCTGTGTGGAATCTGGGGATGCTCTGTGGATGGGCCACTATATAGCTGAGTTCTCAGGGACCCTGACATGGTCCTGATGGGAAAGTCCTTCAAACAAGGACGTCCCCTGGAACTATGGGACATCGTGGTCCCTCAGCAACATCATAGAAAAGTAGGTGAACTCAGCTGTCACCTGGCAGGTGAGGACCCTGCTATGGGAAACCAGCAGCCAGAGGTCCCAGAGAAGACAGGCCGTGATTCAGGTTTCCACAGGAAGGCAGAGACAGGGGCTCTAGAGGCAGCAAGCAGCAGCTTCCCCTCCCCAGGTGAGCACAGCCCAGGTGGCTGCTGGGAAAGGTGGGGACGAGGTAAGGCCTGGTGGCTCCTGGAGAGTGAAGGTGGTCTGCAGGAAGGCGCAGGCCTGGAGGAGAAGCAGAGCACTCTGGGGTGGGAGGAGCAGGGGAGTCACATCTAACCTGTGCCCGCCCTGGGTCCTGGCTCCTGGGCTGAGCCCAGGGCTGGCCCCTGCCCATTCTCCTCATCCTCGTCCAGTCCTCACAGCACCCTAGCTCGACATGGATGTGACCCCTCTTGTCATATGTAGAAACTGAGGCACGAGGGGCTTGGCAGCCTGAGCAGGTAGCCCCCACCTAGCAAGTGGCGGGGCAGGTCAAGCCTGGGCACAGGCATCCACAAGGGCCTATGCACCTGGCTCCCTTCGTGAAGGTGGCCCCCTGGTCCTGAGGGTAAGTAATGAGGCTCAGAAGTGCCTATAACTGGAAGGTTCTGGAAGGCGCTTTGAGCTGGTGACTGTAGGTGCAGTCTCAAGGAGCCAAGAAGCTCTCAGAGACATGACATCTGAAATGACAGAACACACATCTGCCCCACCTTGCCCCTCGGTACTGAGTTCCAATACCGGCACTGTGTTCATGCCCAAAGCCCAGGACCAGAGGGGCTTTCGTCAGATGAGGCCAAATGACTTCACAGAATCAAAGATTCTGCAGGAGTCTAGAGGAGCTCCCTGGCAGGGGTGGGAGGGAGCCTTCAGGCAGCTGCGAACAGCAGCTCTTCAGCAGGGGAGTCGGTAACGCTAACCGTGTGGGCCTCACGCATTCACTTCTCCCTCATCTGTTAATTTGCTTTGGCTTAAGGGCTGTGAAAGTTTTACAACCAGTTTTATCTCCGGACACATGTAATTACATCACGAATCACAAACATGCAACGCCATTATGCTCATCGAGGATGCATGCCATGTGTTAGGATGTGAGCCCCAGCCAGAGGATGCCGT